TCTCTATATATTTTCCTAATTGTTCCTTAACTATTAACTTTAATACCTTCTCATACATTGGTAAAATATTGATTGGCCTATAATCACTAGCTTTTTTTGGCTTCTCAATCTTAGGAATCGGTATTATCGTGGATACTTTCCATCCCTCAGGACATATACCATTACTCAGCAATTCATTTATCACCCTCACTAGCTCCTCCTTTATTACATGAAAGCTTGTTTTTAAAATATCGCTGGATATTCCCTCATCTGTTCCTTTCTTTTTTGGCAAGGCCATAATAATTTGCTCTAACTTTTGTACATTTATTAAATCAAAATTATCCATTACGCTTTCACTTACTATAGCATCATTACATTCCATACTCCTACTATCACTTGTTCCTATGGAGTTTATTATAACATTAATACTCTGAATATAATATTCATTGAATCTATTCGCTATACTGCAATCACCTATATTCTCTAATAATTCGAAATCAATCTCATCACTCTCTCTCGAGCCCGTATACTCTCCTCGCAGAACTTCTTTTAAGGCTTTCCACATCCGTACAGGATTACTTTTATTATCATCTATCATACTTTCATAATATTCCTTCTTTTTCTTCCTAATTAATTTGACTACCGCATTTCTTTCAATTTTAAACTGTATCCAATCTTGTTCATTACGCGTATATATAGCTTTCACATATGCTTTATCCCTTCTATCCGTGGATAATCTGATCTCATCTGAGAACCATTTTTTCCCTTTCCATATCGTAGGGACTACAAACTTTTTCTTTGGAGCAACAGCATCTAACGCCGCTACCATAATATCAACAAATTTCTCCGCTCTCTCATTTATCTTTACGCAATCATTTTGATCTAGACCTACCCGTATTGCTTCTAACAATTCATTAATCCGAAATTTGCTATACTCCCTACTAATAACTTCTTTATATTTATCCTTATTCTTACTTACATTAACTTCAACACTTAACCATGAGTGATCCGTTATCTTTGGCTTGTCGTATACTTTACATTTTATCTTAATATTCGCGAAAACAAGATCAATCAAAGTTTGACTATTACTTGTGACCCTCGTCGGTCTATCGACATATTGTTTTAACCCTAAGCTTGACATTTCACTTATTAATTTTCTTGCATAAAACGTATCCGCCAATAGATCAATGTTAAAGTCTCCTAACAACATACATTGACCTTTCGCAACTAGGTGGTCCACTGTATCCACCAGAAACCTTATAAAGTCACCATCTGCTGCGCTTGGTGAGTGGTATATGACTATGACTACGCCCTTATACATAGAATCATTTATCTCCACCGCTATACACCAACAGTTTGCTATTATCTTTTTATTTACTAGTATCTTATATTTAATATCATTTCTTATGTACATCATCACCCCACCCGTATTTCTATTTTCCCCATCGCATCTAACAACACTATATCCCATTACATGTATTTCACTGTCGTCAATTTCCGGAGTAAGTCTAGTCTCCGACAGCGCGCATGCTGCTAACTTCATCCTCCTCATGTGGTCTTGAATTTCGTCTTTATGTGCCATTAGACTTTGCGCATTCATGTGTACAATGGTCTCCTTCCGTAATTGCTATTTAATGTCTCCCCATCCAGCTCTCCTCTTCTCCTCCTGTACTGCTCTCTTAAAGGTCGGACATTCTAAGCTAAGGGCGTCATGATCGTCACTTATTTTCACATTGTACGCTTTGATTTTAAACATACAGTTCACGCATTTTTTTCCTTCTGCTGAACACTCTCGCGAGTCATGGTTTCCTGCACATTTGTGACATGTTACCTCTCGGGTACAATTTTTAGCAATGTGAAAATATCCCCAGCACTTAAAACACCTTTTAACATTAATATGATTAAATACCGGGCACTTCTTCCATCCTACATTTAGTTTTACTTTCTTCAGTAATAGCTCATGCGTTTCTTTATCTGCTTCCATAATTATCACTCCTTCTTCAGCTCCTCTCCTCTCGGAATGATTATCTCTTTTACCTTTGCTACTTATCCTCTTCACAATCCTCATATACCCTGCACCTATTTTATTCTGCTTCTTTACCATATTAATAAGCTCACTATCGTCTAACGCCATCTCTTCTGAATCTATGTTAATAATTTTTATCTTTGGTTTTAATTGAGGCGATTCCGTTACTTTATAATTTTTTCCCAGCTTAACTTGCACTGTCTCTTTCAATAAATTAACTTCCTCACCTGTTTCACAACCCATAATCACCGTTCCCTTGCTTCCTTTCTTCAATTTCGTTATTCTCATAGCCATATTCTTAATGTCCACCTTCTCTTTTATCACTTTCTTAGTGGTCTCACTCTCTTGGTGCACTTTTGGTTTGATAATTATGACGTTTTCTTTCTTCTCTTTAATCGCTTTACTGTAGCTCCTCTGCACTACTTCCTTCCTCGTTCCACCAGCTATTCCCTGGATCATTTTTTTCAGATTATCCAGTTCTCGCTTCACACTTCCTAATTCTTCTTGCACTACTTCTTTGACTATTGCTTTAATTTAATTTTTACGGGCCGTTTCATTTTTTATCTCTATCAGGGTTCTTATAATCCAGTCTACTTTGATGTCAATATTTGACCCTTTATTTCCACTGCTTGCTCCTGAGGATGCCATTGACCCTGTAGACGATGCTCTGTCTCTTTATACTGTTGCCAGTGCTTTCTTCGCACTTGCTTCCTGCTCGCTCTCAGTCAGAAACTCTTCAAATGGGCCCTTACACGGTACATATTCTTGTTTTTCATCGAAAATTTTATGCTTACTAACGCATCCCGGGTGATAGAACAGCTTTACACAAGTTTTGCATTTAACGACTTTGTTCTTTATTGCCTTCTTACATGCCGAGCATCGGTATTCTACATATTCATCTTCCATGCCGATACTTACCGACCGAGGCCGCTAACATCAGCGCCAGCGATCACGCACCCGAGATCAATTTTCACACGTCACACTTATGAAATCACGTGTAATGGCTGCCTGTCTATCGAGACCACGAGGCCCCAAAAAACAGAAATTCACTGTTCGCATTCACACACCGCCAGTCCAGCTAGATAATCCTCCTTGCTATCCCCAGACACATGCAGCATAACTTGAACACTTTTCCACACGTCCTCTTTCACTATTACCATTTAAAAATTTAGTTCTTCAGTGGCGCGAAGTGACACACGTCTGCTCTACTCAGAGAGAGAGAGAGAGAGAGAGAGAGAGAGAGAGAGAGAGAGCTCGCGGCGGAGTAACGTGCGATGGCCCCAGCTGTTGTGTGTGTGAGTCGAGTGTGTGTGTGTGTGTCGAGCGTAGCATGTACAGACGGGGACACGAATGCCTTGACACTTCGAAGTTGCGCGTATCGAGCGTGTTCCAATCAGAAACGCGTCTTCGGAGCGCGTTCCAATGAAAAAACGCGTTCCTCTCTCATCGCGCAACTTCAAGTGTCAAGGCATTCGTGTCCCCGTCTGTACATGCGTCATCTCTCTCTCTCTTTCTCCCTCCGTTGCAGCAGCTGATCATCGCGAACAACCTAACCTCCTCGCTCGCACCGAACAGCAGCGATGCCTCTTCGCTCGCGATACCTTCTGCCGCGATGCGCGGACGACCCGCCGTCGGTCACGCGAGGCACCGACGACCCGCGGTCGGTCACGCGAAGCGCCACTGCCGACCACGCCGAGCGCTACCGCCGGTCACGCCGAGCGCCACCGCCGGCCACGTCGAGCGCCACTGCCGGTCACGCCGAGCGCCACCGCCGGTCACGTCGAGCGCCACCGCCGGTCACGCCGAGCGCCACCGCCGGCCATCCGAAGCGCCGCCGCCGGCCACGCCGAGCGTCACCGCCGGCCATCCGAAGCGCCGCCGTCGCGGTCGTCACGCCAGGCGTGGATGAAGCAGCGTCGGTCTCGCGAAGCTCGGACGAGCCACGTGGCGCCGCTGCTGTTCCTCGCAGATGAGGGTGTGTGCGTGTGGTGTGTGTGCAGCTGACGCGTCGTCGGCGTCGTACAATCGCGCCCAATTAACAATTGAACTTGGCCAACGCGTGTACCGCTCATGCTTTTCTATCGTTCACCGCGTGATACCATGCCAAGTGCAATTGTTAATTGGGCGCGATTGTACGACGCCGACGACGCGTCAGCTGCACACACACCACACGCACACACTGACCGTGCGGCAGCAGCACCATACGCAGCTTGTCCGCTTTCTGCCGCATGGTCACATTATGAACGCGACATACTTGTTTGTGTCTGAGGTGTGTTCGTCGACAACGACTCCTCGCTTATTGGTCGCAATGGTCGATCCTATTTTCCGAAATATCTCGGCTCCCGATGATTTGCGACACCTTTGTCGGATACTTTTCTTGTATTTCAGATTTCAACGCTTCGATTGACAGCATGTTCAGCGAGATCGATGGTGATCAGGTGAGGTGTACATAATTACCCAATATCGTGCAAATATTGCAACGTGGTATATTATAGTGCAGTATTGTTATGTTCGTCTTTAATAAACACTCGGAAGTTTCTTTAAAAGGATATAGATATATTTAAGAGTCGAGAAATACAATATATCAGGAGACGCGGTAGCGTCTCCCGCCAAGTATATTTTTTCGCTACATAACGGTCAGAAAATATTTTTGTACTTACAGAGACGCTACAGTGTATCCTTTACCGGACGGATAACGTTTCTATAGTAATAAATTATCCGTGGAAAAGACATTAAAAATGTAAAAAAACCGCCAAGTATATTTTTTAACGTTTTTATTTCGAAAAAATTGTATTAGATTGAAAAAAATGAGACCTTTGTATTATCTTAAATATATAATACAACTTCGAAAAAAAAACTATTGTTAAATCATAAAAAAAACCTAAGTGACATAGATCGGAAGAGCACACGTCTGAACTCCAG